TATTACTGTTAATCTTCTCATCACTCCTTATCACCCATCCCCTCCCACTTGTGACTGTATGACTTTAACTTTGTCGCTTGTATCCTTATGATTTATATGGACTGTTTCCTAGTATGATTTGGTTGCTTATTTGTACCCTATGACTATCATGAAGTGTTGTACCTAATGATTCTTGATCCTTGACGAATGTATCTTTTCTTTTTATGTTCACTGACAGCATCTGCACCAAAGACAAATTCCTTGTGTGTCCGATTACACTTGGCCAATAAATAATTCTATTAAACGCCAATAAAACCAATTATTAATAAGATTTAATCAGTCCCAGAAGTCCCATGAATTTATAGTCCTTGGAGGCTACAAATTCCAATATATTTTGCACACTGTTAATCATAATAATACATTTAAATATATCTAATCCTAGTCTTTTCCTTTGGTCTGTGACTTATGACCACAACTGAGCCCGAAATTTCTGTTATTAAGTGTTCAATGAGTTTTGCCCCATTTTATGACCTTTCTTGCCACAGTTACTAAGGGAATCACTGCAGTTGTTAAATGACTAACATGGTTGTTAAGAGAATCTGGCTTCCCCATTGACTTTGCTTGTCAGAAAGTCACAAAAGTTGATTGCATGACCCTGGGCAGGGGTGGGATTCAAATTTCTTAACAACCGGTTCTGTGGGCGTGGCCTAATTTTGGGGTGTGGCTTGGCGGTCAAATGACAAGTTGGGCGTGGCTTACTGATTGGGCGTGTCTTGGTGGTCACATGACTGGCTGGGCGTGGTTTATATGTAAATATTGTAAATATTGATGTAAATATTGATTTTTTTATTTTTTAAAAAAGCAACTTTTACCCAAAATCAGGCAAAGCAGGCAGGCAGATTGAGTTGCTCACAGAATCACAGACCCACTCAGAGATCTATCTTTCTACAATCTATTTACCAAAGGCAGGCAAGTTGGATGGCGCGCATGTCAGATAAGGAGTGTCGGTGGGGTGGGATGGGGACAGCCAGTGAAGCAAGTTGCCGATTCTCCGAACTGCGCAGAATCATAACAACCGGTTCTATAGAACCGGACCGACCAGGTAGAATCCCACCCCTTACCCTGGGATACTGCAATTGTCATAAATATGAGTCACTTGCCAAGTGTCTGGTTTTGATCATGTGACTATGGCGGTGCTGCAGTGGTCATAAGTGTGAAAAATGGTTATAGGTCACTTTTTTCAGTGCCATTGTGACTTCGAACGGTTACTAAATGAACTGTTGTTACTCGAGGAACTGCCTGTACTCCATGAGGCAAGATTCCCTCCCTTCTCACTGGCTGTCCAAAAATCATAAATGCCTAGTCAAGATGGAGTGTAAGGAAAGGGCCAGATCCAATCTTGGCCTTGGAAACAAAACACAGGGCACGGGGTCGAAAAAGTCAAGATGGCAGCTGTGGTGCCCCTGCCTGTCACAATGTGTGTTATAGAGAGTGCGGGCTGTTACTAAAATGCATTATGGGGAGAGGGGTCCTTTGTGAGCAATGATGTTTTTTTATTTATTTATTAATGATATTTTTTCTTTGTAGCAATGATATTGCTAGACCAATACTTGATTACAGCTCATCAGTCTGGAACCCACATTACGTATCTGATATTAACACAGTTGAGAAAGTCCAGAAATATTTCACAAGAAGAGTTCTCCACTCCTCTACTCGTTGCAGAATACCTTATGTCACCAGACTTGAAATTCTAGAACTAGAAAACCTTGAATTACGCCATCTTCGGTCTGATCTAAGTATGGTATATAAAATCATACATTGCAATGTCCTACCGGTCAATGAATACTTCAGCTTCAACCATAACAACACAAGAGCACACAATAGATACAAACTCAAAGTAAACCGCACCAAACTTGATTGCAGGAAATACGACTTCAGCAATAGAGTGGTCAATGTCTGGAATACTCTACCTGTCTCTGTAGTTTCTTCCCCAAACCCCAAAAACTTTAACCTTAGACTGTCTACTATTGACCTCACCCCTTTCCTAAGAGGTCTGTAGGGGGCATGCATAAGCGCACCAACGTGCCTACCGTCCCTGTCCTATTGTTTCTCTATTCTTCTTTTATTTTTCTTATATGTACCCATTTCATGTATTCACAACTATGTATATATACTTATTATCTTGTAAACAATTGACAAATCAAACAAATAAATGAATGAATGAATGAATGAATGAATGAATAAATAAATAAATAAATAAATAAATAAATAAATAAATAAATAAAT